AGATGTGTGTGAGAGAGAGATACTTCATATATTTCTTCGTTTATTGTAACTTATAAAGGATGGGACAAATTCATAGGTATTGATTGGTTTCTTTCGAGTATATCCATTCTTACATAAGTTATATTGGACCGGCTGCCCGTTTCATTTTTTCCAGCAATTTCTCCTTAACAAAGAGTTAAAGACTAAGTTCTTCTTTTACATATAATTTATCCAGGGCGTGTGTTATGCTCCTGCGGGAACACATTGTTTGATTCCCTTGGGTGGAAAAAGCGAAGAGTTTTTGGATTTGGATTGTAAAAAAGAAATTGGATTTGAAATTGTGGTATTCATTTAATAATCAAACTATAGCAATTAAATAAAAAAGTACTTTGGGTTTGAGTTTTTTATCACTTAAGCCTTGGATGCCCAAATATTGGTTAGCGAATGAGGATTTTGCAAGGCCACATCCTAGACTCAATTCCTGCCAACAGTAGGGGCACTCTCTCTATTGAGGATTTCGCAAGGCTACATCCTAGGCTCATTTCCTACCAATAGTAAGGGCACTCTCCCTACTGACTTACCCAAAAAAAAAGTTTAACTGTTCAAAAATTTAGCTTTTTAAGTTTAATTTTAGAATGCTATACTTTCAAGTTCAAGCTCACAAACATGTGCTTGAATTTTCTTTTTTTTCCCTTTATTTTTTTTTTTAGAGGTTGGTCCAAAAAGTTACAATCTCAAATTTTGAGGTCCTAGATTAGTTGGGTTTTGCTTGAGGGAGCAAATAGATAATATACTTCTGCAAGAGCGGGAAACCATTTCATAAATTTATTTCAGTTCTCAATTTACTCGATGTCTTTTACACAGTTTTACAATAAAATGCTTATTGTCCAACAATTAGTGATACTCTAATCGATGTAGTTAAACAAATATCACTCACTTTCAAATGGATAATAAGGTTAACCCTTGAAAAAACAATGATGATAAAGACATATTTGGCAAGGAATGGAGTGGCGCAAGGGTAAGCCAAGCCGAAAGGGCAAGTGCAGGCCGTCCCCAAAACAGAGGAGACGCCCTCAAAAGTTAGAGAGAGAGAACTCAAGTTAGGTAGAGAAAGATAACTAAAGTTAGGGAGAGAGAGCGAATAGTGAGGCCGGTACGTGTGGGCCACACCTGCCAATCGTTCCACTACTTGATTCCTACCCCTGGTTTCGTGCCGCTCTATATACTTCACTACTCTCACTCTCTTTGCTGCCCCAACTCGCCTCTTCTTCCAACTTAGAGCGAGAGACCTCTTCTTCCACCTTCTAGAGAGAGAGAGAATATTCATAAGAAGCCTTTCTTCCACCTTAACCTTATAGACCAGAAGAGAGAAGCGTGACACAGCTGCACTTTCAACTTAGAGAGAGAAAGATGGAAACTACCAAAGGATACACACAAGATGGCACAGTCGACCTCCGAGGCCGTCCAGTCGTCGCGTCGAAGACCGGAAGATGGCGAGCCTGCGCTTTTCTAGTAGGTCTGGCATGGCTAAAAAAACCACCCATAAATTTTTTCTTGAATTAGGTCTATTGAACTCAATGAGCTCATAATAAAACCATCGTTATTTTGCAAATTGGGTCTTCAAAAACCAAGGTCGGACTCACTGAGGTCCCTATTCTGAGTCGTATGTACACACTCGTCCGGGTCTGTTCGGACATATTTGTACAAGTATTACAGTGGCTGAATACGGCTGGTTCTTGCTTAGACTCTGTAACCCAGCCGATTTTACGGCTGAAGTTTTAGAATACCGTTCACAACGTTGTTAAATTAAAAATTTCCCTATATTCTAGTCTTATTTTGTGATTCTCCTCATTTCCAATATTCCTTTTGCAATTTACTGTATAATTTTTTTTTTTTGGTAGGTTACGAATCATTTGAGAGGATGGCCTTTTATGGAATTGCTTCCAATTTGGTGGTTTATTTGACAACCCAACTTCACGAGAACACCATAACTTCGGTTCGAAACGTTAACAACTGGTCCGGTTCGGTGTGGATGACACCGATTCTTGGAGCTTACATCGCCGACTCTTTTTTGGGTCGTTATTGGACCTTCACAATTTCCTCTCTAATTTACGTCATGGTAATTCTTTTGCGTTTTTTTCTTAAGGCATAAAGTGGGAGATTTAAGTACATGTTCTCTGTGTGTATTTTTTCAACAATTTTTTGGTGTGCCAGTCTTTTGAGTGTTTATTTAGCTGTTGGTCTTTTGAGAGTTTATTTAGTAGTTGAGCTTAGATTGTTTTCCATATCTTTATTTATTTGGTCAAATTTGGGTTGATCTCTTTGTGTTTGTTTATTCATGTTCAGCTTGTGTTGATTTGTATGTATTTATTTACTACTTTGGTTAACTTCAAAAAGGGGCTTTTTTCTCTTAAATTACAAAACTACCCTCATAAAGTAACTGACCATGAAATTTGGGAAATTATGGTGGTTGATGGTACAATAAAATAAAATAAAATAAAAAATTCTATAATAATTAATGCCATTTTGCAAGTCTAATATTTGGGTGAGAGGACACCACAATATTAAAAGTTGGGAATGTAATATTCATTTTTATTATTCCAAAGATGAGGGGTAATGGAGACATGTTAATTAAAAAGTACATATACTTTCCTAGTTTTCAACCATACTACGATACTTTTTTTAAGTTATTAAACTTTGTTTTGTATTTTACTTTTCCTATTTGGGTGTGGTTTGCATAAGGTTTAACCTTAAACAATCCAATTAAGGTGCACCTCTAAATTTTATCATAAATGCAATTTTGATATAAACAATACTTAGGATGACATGATAAACTATTTTTATCTCTAATTATAAAAATTTTACACCAAAAAAAAATTCACATGAATTAGATCTATAAACACATGAAAATGGATGGTCTAGATAATATATTACAAGATATACTATTTCGTATACTCGAAATCTTTTTTTCTTTTTATATTCATACATTTCAATGTCTCGATGATCAATTAGAGGGTTTTTCAACATCGAAACAACTTTTTATGATAAGTTTTTGAGGTGCACTTTTAATTATACATTTTAAAATTACAACCTTATATAAATGTTTTCCTTCCTATTTAGTAGGTACTAAATGAACATAATTCTAGACATCAGTTTTGCTTGTACCATGCCCTGAACACTGAACAAAGTCGTGGACCCCTTTGGTCGTCGTTTAAAGCTAGGCCCCATGCCCTAGAAAATGAACCGAGAGGTTGGACCACATTTCAAGATACAAGTGGATGCAATCACTTCTGAAAAATGTGCCCCATGTGTCTAAATTATTTGTATCATTTCCCCCCCCCCGTTTCTTGCTTTTTAATGCTTAATTATGCCATTTTTGCACAATTGCCCTAATAACTGTGGTGATTGTTAATTTTTAGGGAATGGTGTTCTTGACTCTGGCTGTCTCTCTAAGATCCCTAAAGCCATCATGTGTCCAAGGAGTATGCAACAAAGCCTCACCCCTACAAGTCTCCTTCTTCTACTCTGCCCTTTACATTATAGCCATTGGGGCGGGGGGCACTAAGCCCAATATCTCAACTTTTGGGGCTGACCAATTTGATGATTTTGACCCTCATGAAAAGAAGCTCAAGGTCTCATTCTTCAATTGGTGGATGTTTAGTGCATTTACAGGCGCATTATTTGCAAACTTAGGGTTAGTTTATATCCAAGATAACTTAGGTTGGGCACTAGGGTATGGGATCCCCACAATTGGCTTGTTGTGCTCCTTGTTCCTATTCTATGTAGGTACACCAAATTATAGGCACAAACCTAGGAAAACCAATAATCCAACAAGAAATATTTTTAGGGTTATCGCTAGGGCCATTGCAAATCGACGGTTGGAATTGCCCCAAGAGGTGAACAAGCTTCATGAGCTCGAGCCACAAGATTACATGATTGCTGGGCGAAGGCAGCTTTGCTACACTGACCGTTTCAGGTTCTCTCTCTCTCTCGTCGTCTCTCTCTCTCTCTCTCTCTCTCTCTCTCTCTCTAGCTTGTCTACACTGACCGTTCTAGGTTTCTCTCTCTCTCTCTCTCTCTCTCTCTCTCTCTCATATACATAAATGCACACATATTCATGGTGGTCCTGAAACCAAACAGTCTGGCAAACTCTCCCTTCCCACCTCTTTCTCTCTCGAAAGCACTAACTAGCACAATTATTTGTGTGCCCAAGACATGAGCTTCTTAAAGGCTTACATCTCTCTATGAGACACAAAGTATTTACATGTGCATGTATATACTTAGGGTTCAAGTTAATAAGGTACTTTGGCATTTGAGAACGGTTATTTATGCCATCAGGTTTTGGAAAATTTATAGGGAAAAGTTGATATAAAGCCGAGGTTCTAAACAATCAAATTAGAACTCACCTCAAAAATTTAAAGAAGAGGTTGTTTTGATGCCCAAATATCTTCAAATTGATCATCTCGACATCAAGATGCATGGACATGAGAAAAAAATAGATTTTAAGTTTTGGAAATAGTGTATTTTGTAACACAGTTTTGGACTGTCAATTTTCAAGATATTCAAGGTTTCATAGATCTATCGATCTACACTATTTTTGAAGCTTTAAACTTTATAAATAAAAGATGAAAAAATATTTTAAGCCTATCACAAAGATTTTCAGTATTAAAACCACATTTCTCGACATTAGTTGAAGGTAGACTCTAATTTGATTGTTTAGAGCCTAGGCTCTATACAAACCACACCCAAATTTATATGCCCCAACTCTAAGCCGTTGGATTGTATGGACGGCGGGGATGACTTCGATCATAATTCCACATTATTTTGTTTTTACCTTTTTACAATTATCTTGATATGAGATTTGAGGTGCGTCACTTCCCATAGTGGTGCATCTTTGAAAAATAAAAATAACATAATTTAAATAAAATAAAAGAACTAAAATACCTTGCAAGTTGTATAGGCACTGTGGTCATTTCATTTTGTCAACATATTTATTACTTTTTTAGGTTCACTCCTTTGAAAGGAAAGCATCATGCCCCAAATTTCATTTACAAATGATTTGTAAAGCTAATTAAAAATAAAATACTGTTAAACATCTCATCAAGATCATCATGACATTATGACTATAGTTGTTCAAAGAGGACAACGTGTATACTCCTGTTCCTGGTGTCCAAAAAGTTTGACTTTTCACACTTCCCCTTCATCCATTGACTACAGCTACAGCAGTATAGGTGTGATGCACTACACATACGCAGCTCTTTTACATGCTGTATGAGATGACGCTTGCATTCTCTTTTAAGCAGTGTTTTAAAAAACGCCGAGTCGCCCGGTTCGACTCGAAAATCGTAAGAGTGGATCGTATCGGTTAAAAATCGAAAATCGTCCGGTTTTAGAGAGAATCGGACGATTCTGTACAGTGACTCGTCGATTTACTGTATGGAATCGACGAGTCCGAACAGTGAATCAGCGAGTCTCGTAAGGTTTTTTTTTTTTTTTTTTTTTTTTTTTTTTTTTTTTTTTTTTTTTTTTTTTTTTTTTTTTTTTTTTTTT